CCTCCTCCTCCTCCTCTCTCCTCCTCCCTCCTCCTCCTCCTCCTCCTCCTCCTCCTCCTCCTCCCTCCTCCTCCTCCTCCTCCTCCCCTCCTCCTCCTCCCTCCTCTCCTCCTCCTCCTCCTCCTCCTCCTCCTCCTCCTCCTGGCTTCCTCCTGTCCCTCTCCTGCTCCTGCTCCTGCTCTCTCCTCCTCCTCCTCCTCCTCCTCCTCCTCCTCCTCCTCCTCTTCCTCCTCTTCCTCCTCCTTCTCCTTCTCCCCTTCCTCCTCCTCCTCCTCCGACTCCTCCTCCGCCACGTCTTCTTTTACCTCCGACGTCTTATCACGCTTCCCGTCACCCTCGAGGGCCGAGGTATCCAGGGTCGGCGGCACTGGCCGTAAGGCCTTAGCAATATTTACTTTCGAGGACATACCAGGCTCCCATGATTTGCTACCTAACGAGCCCGTGTCGTTGTCAAGGCTGCGGCTGGATACGGGAACTTGGGCGGAAGCGCGAGGAGACCGATGGCAGAGGTGGAGGGCCTGACCCAGGGTCCCAAAACCGTGCGGTGACGGACCGCGTGGCGACTTCGAAACACAAAGTGACCTCACTGCGCGCTGCGTCGCCGCACGGTCTTGGGACCTCGGAAGCCCCAGTCGCCCGAGACGTCCTCGGAGAGCGACCCGATTCCAAAAACCGAGCGGTGACCCCGAATCACCTCTTGACTCACCACGCGGTGTGGTCACCACACCGTGTGGGGGCCGCCGATTGACCGCGCCGCGGTCGATCGGATAGCCTGTCCATCCCCGGTCAGGTGCCCGATTCTGGAAGCCCTGGAGCGCGAGCGTTGGCCTTCAGGCGTGAACGCTCAGAACACGTACGGAACAAATAGCGTGATGCCCAAGTGTTGCCCAAAACCCGCAGCGGCCGCTGTTGGGCAGGCGGCCTTCTGTATCTAACGAACAACGTCTGCGGCCCCCAGGTGCCCCCAGGAAGCCTCCAGGAGGCCGCTAAGAAGTCCCCAATAGGCCCCCTGGAGGCGTCCAAAGAAAACCCGAGAGACATCCAACACGCCTCTTAGACATGACCAAAGCACGGTGTCCGGATGCACTGACGGAACTTCGGCGGGTGTCTGCTCCGTTGAGCGCTGCCTGGCAACTACCCAACCACTGTTTCTCTCCCCCCAGAGACTTTCACGCCGTAGCTCGGAAAAAGCGACCGCCACCAACCTCCCATGAGCGCGCAAGCAAGTACAAGCGATGATGCAGTATGGGCCAGCAACGTGAATCCACCACCCCACCAGGTACAGCGTGTGAGACCCCCGCGTCATATTCTGTAAGGACTGTTCTTGCCAAGTCCTCTAACCCACGCGGTTCTCGAAGTCACCCCTTCCTTCAAGACCCCGAACCCCCTCCCAGGTTCCTTCCCAGAGCCCGCTTATTCCGCCTGCCCGAAGGCCCTGGCTGCAGACTGTGCGTCCGCTAACCACCAGTTCCCTCCAATCAAGCACGTCTTCGCGCAGGAGATTACCGGACACCTCTGGACGCCGTCTTGGCCTCTCCGGAGGCAATCTGGGCCGTCTTGGGGGCTCCTTGGGCTGACTCTCTTGGGGTCTCGTGTGACACTTTTGGGGCCTCTCCGGCCACCTGGGGATATCCGCGGGGCCTCTTCGGCCTTCCTCAAGGCATCTCTGGGCTGTCTTGGACCGTCTGGCCACCTTCTTGAAGCTCTGGAGCCCTTCTGAGCCGTCCTGGACGCCCTTTGGCCCCCCTGGAGGCCGTTCTAAGAGGCGAAGGTTCGTGTTACGATGCCCCTTTTGCCGCTGAGTCTGCCGCTTGTGATTTCCCCCGCCACTTGGGACAGTTTTTGGTGTTCTTGCGAGCTGTTTTTTAAAGCCTCCTGGGGCCCCCCTAGCCCGTCATTGGAAGTTCTCCAGTTTTCGGGGGCCGTGTTGGAGACCTCTTCACGTGGCCCTCTTCTGCCTCCACCATGCCTCCCGAAGTCTATTCATGGTCATTATAGCTGGATGTGTTTGTGCATCGCAGCGACCACGTTCGACAAAATTGGGCCCTGTGCCCGGGTGCCTGTCCCCTGAAGGGCGTTCAACCCGTCACCATGGTCGTCGTCGAGGTCTTCGTCGTCGCTGCCGTCGTCGTCCGTGTCTTCGAGGTCGTCGCCGCCGTCATCGACGACGTGGTCGCTGTCGCCACCCTCATCCTGCTTCTCCGCCTCCTACATCTGAACATCCTTTTGGACACGCCTCTACGACTGATTCCCCCCCTCCTCCTCCTCCTCCTCCTCCTCCTCCTCCTCCTCCTCCTCCTCCTCCTCCTCAACCATTCCCCTAGCAAGCCCCTCATCATCACATCACTCTCCGCGCACCTCACTTGCGCCCCCCCCATCCTCTCCTTGTGAACATCCTCCTCGTCCAGCTGCTGCCCTCAAAGCATTTGGGCGCGAACGTCATTCTGGCATCCGACGCCCAGCCTCGCCCCTCCACGGGACGGCTGGGGGGGGCTGCACGCCACCTGCCCGTTCCTTCTTCTCGGGCGGCCGGGCGTGCAGGCGAAAGCGAGGCCTCGAGCCCGTCTTCAAGTCAAAGCCATGGAGCACTTGTGCGGGATGCAGCACCCACGAGCACAACCGGAAGACCCAGCAGAGCTCGGGGCAGCTGCGGCGAGTGCAACAGGGCCGTCAGGCTGCGCGAGCCCGAGGGCGGCGAAAGAGCAGTTCCCGAGGAGCGGCCGACGACGAGCAGGCCAACCTCCAGAACACCACGGGCCAGTACGACGGCGTCTACACCCTGCGAAATGCTTAAGAAATCATGGGTTAAGAAATTCATAGTCTCAGAATTTGAATAAAAACCCAGAACTTCGATCAACATCTTGGGATTTACATGGAAAAGTTAAGAATAATCGAGACTTTGGCCGAAAACTTACGTTTTCTTAAGCGTCGCCTGAGGTGTACGACCCGGGCGCTCACGGCAGCTACGGCCACGGTGACGGACCCGTCCATTAAACTTAAACAGGTCATCGCGGAGCAGATCGCGGCCACGCAGAAGGAGGCCCTCGCTCTGCCCACTGCTAGCGTCGCCCGAGGTGGAGCGGCTCGTGGAGCCGAGGGCGCCTGGAAGGGCGCGAGGCAAAGTACGCGCAGGTGGCAGCTGCTGTCTCGCGGGCTCTGGAGAACCTGAAGTTGGCCATGAAGAAGAACGAGTAGGCGGCTCGCACGCTGGCGCTGGCACAGCTCGCCAAGCGCTCGGCAGCCGTCGCTTTGGCGAAGGAGGCGGGGGTCGTCACGGGCGAGGTCGCTGCAGCTGGCGGCGGAGCGCTCGAGGAAGCGCCCATGATGAACGTCGGGTGGGACGAGGAGTTTCTCAATCAGCTCGACGACCTCGACTGCACGCCACAGGCTCGGGAAGAGCTCAAGAAAGTTGAAAGCGAGCTGCTCGCCGTCAGAGCGAGCGTGTCCACGAAGGCCGATGCGGTGGCCAAGCGGCGGACAGACGTTCCAGCACCACGTCAGACGGTGCAGGGGCGGCTGGCCAGGAAGCGCAGGACGCACGGCGAGGAGGAGGGCCTTCGGGCTCCCGGCGCAGGCGGTTCGGCGGCTTCTGGCGGAGCGGCCCCGCTGGCAGGCGGCGGGGGCTCGGGGGGTGGCGGCCGGGGCGGTGAGGCGGCTTCACCTGCGGCGGGGGCGTCTTCGGGGCCCAGCGAGCAGGACACCCAGCGCAAGGCGGAGAAGTTTCGCACGGCGCAGGGCGTTGGGGCGCAGGCGGCAGAGGCGGCCAGGCCAGTCTCCCCCCGCCGGAGTGCCCGTGCCCACCCGAGGCGGCGAGGTGGCGGCTGGCGCCCGCGGCCCCTCGGGTCGCAGCGCAGCGGCAGCCGCCGCACGAGCCCGGGCCTGAGACTGACGAGCCAGCAGGTTCCGCCTGCACATTCTTCAGCAGCGTGGCAGCCCTGGGCACCGAGGCCTGGCACGGCCTCAGTTCGGCGGCGGCCCTCGCCGCGGGCGAGTATACATCGGCGTGGTGGAGTCCCCATGTTGGCGCGCACGCCCGTGGGGAGTGGGCTCGCAGCGCGCGCGGGCCCAAGCTCGGGTAGATCGGCAGTCCTGCCGAAGGGCTTCGAGACGGGCCGCTTCCGCGGCAGCCGAAGGGCGTGCCTACGAGGGCGGAGAGCTCCTGCCAGCACGGGGTCGCAGAGTCGTGCATCGTGCTTGTGGGAAGCCTCGAGGAGGGGCCAGCAGCTGCTGCGCTGGGGAGCCGACATGCTGGGCGGCTTTCTTCCGACGTTAGTGCACATGGCTGGGTGTTCTCTGCTGCTAACGGTTTTCTATGCACATCCAGCAGTTGCGTTCTCAGGGAGCAATGCACCACGCGTTACCAAATTGGGAGCTGTTTCTGTCTTCGGTCAAACTGTCCTGACGGGTAATTGATGACTTCAACATAGATGTGAGTGTGTGTTCGAGCAGTCAGCCTTCTGCCGTCGGCTTCGGGGAGTCTTTCGCAGGGCCAACGCTAAGCGCGCGTGCGTTGGCAGCGCAGGAAGTTCGCATGCGGATTTCGCCGCGGCTTCGGACAGCTGCATTTCCTACACCTGGGGGCTCACGGCAGCAGTTGACACGCCCTGGGCGCCGCGCATCGAATTGGAAATGAAGTTGCACGGCTCGGGACGGTGGCTGTTGATGAGGTCTCTCGCTGCGGCTGCACGCCTACCACGAGTGCGCGGAGCGAGGGAAATTAACGGCCGCGCTTGGTCCGTGAGTGCGATGAGCTCTTCGCAGATCTTTTCCCCAGCAGGGCCCCTCGGGAGCCTGAGGCCTCTGGAGGCCTCGACCCCATCACCCTGCCCCCTCGGCAACGCCGCCCCCGCCTGGTCCAGGGGAGTCTTTGGAGGTTAAGATGCAGCCAGTCGGCAACAGTCTCGCCCAGAGCGGGAGCCGAGCCCGAGGAGGGCCGTGCCGGCAGCAACGAGAACAACTCAACACCCGCCCCGGCCGAGCGCCCAGGGAACCAGCAGGACCCGCATGACGGGGTCGCTGATGATCTCACCCCTGCTGCTGCCGCTGCCTCTCCAGCTCCTCATGGGAGGAAAAGGTACGCACAAATCCTACAATTCGGCCGTTTCTCCCTTTTTGAGACTCCTGGGAGGCCCTCGTCGCCAACGATGGATTCCCCTCGAAATTCTGGTCAGAACGCACTCCGGGAGAGGCCCGGGGAGTAGCGGTACCGGTACATTTTAGTTTCCCCAGCTCCTCTTCCGTCTTTTACCATCCCTGCTTCGTCGTGGGTATAACTGCCTCGGCTCAAACTTCTTGGGCCTCGCACTTTACTCACGACGTTCGGCATCCTATTAGCCAGTCGCTTGCTTTCCAAGCGGGCGCCAGGCATGTTCTGCCGATCAGTGGAGCTTTCGCGCGGTGGGTCGCGACCGCGGAGCTCACGATCGCATTTCACCCTGGCTTGACGGCGCCCTCGCGCTCGAGAGCCGCCGGCTGCCAGCTGCGCGCATGCACGGCCAAGCACGAGCAGCACGTGCGTCAGGCCTTCGTCAGGCGCCGCTCAGGGACGGCATCGCAACGCGGCGGTCGAGAGTGCACTCTGTCCTGGAGCAAGCGCTTCGCCAGCGGCGTCGCGGGAACGGCGAGGTCCAGATGGGCTTCCTTGGAGAGCGTTCCTTTACCATCGGCGACGACGGGCGTCATGGGGGGGGGGGGGCGGCGGGGAGGGGCATGGCGCAGCGCACCCCCCCCCGCCGCGCGGCTTGCCATGGCGCCCGTCATGCCCCGAGCAATGAAGAAACGGGCTCTTGCAGCGGCGGCGACAAGGCCGGCTGACTGGCCCGTGGATGGCGCTGGAGCGGCTCTCCCTGTTGGCGCGGGGCTCCGGCAGGCGCTGCTGCGGAAGGCCCCGGGCAGCGCGTGGGAGTTAACTCCGCGGCGGAGCTGGCGGAGCTGGAGGCCGGTGGCCTGCAGGGCGGCCGGGGGGGCTCACCACCGCGCTGCTGCCGCCCCCCCTTGGCGACTTCCAGCAGTGGCTCCGCAGCGCGGAGGCGCTCGGAGCAGTGCGCCGCTCCCTCGAGGACCCCGAGTGACTGCGAAGGACGCACGGCACGGCGTCGGCGACCAGGTCCTCGCCCATCAGGAAGACATCGTCGACAAGAGAGTTGAGAAGTAGCATGCCTTGTGGGGCTCTGGTTATGCTGCCCCCATCGTACTTAAGGTCTACATCCCAGAAGTGATTTCGAGCACCCAGACATGTATCGAAACAGTGTCGAACGAGTATCGCCTCCCAGGGCCCGACACGTGAAAACCCTCCAGTTTCGGTACCTTCCTGGTGCTCGAAAATTTCTCTGGTGGTCAAGGCTAAAAAAGGTTGGAACATCATAAGGCTCGGCTTCAGCAGCTCGCGCGCAGGAGACCATGGAGACCGTTCGCAATCGGGCGGAGATCGGACAACTCCCGCCCCTGTCCGTGGGCGAGGTCCGTGCCGTGCTGGAACGCGTGAATTAAGCAGGGACCGACCGTCCCGGCATTCCTCTAGGCCTAAGACGAAATTCCTTAGAGCGCAACAGTGTTCTAGGAACAAACATCACCCGATGTCTTACAGCAAGGCAGTCCCAACCAGAAATGTTCTAACCACATGCCGTACAAACCACAACACAACTAATAGAACATTCTTTGGTGGGCCTAAAGGCGGGCCGGGACGCTTCGCCGCTGCTTGAGTGAAGTCGCGCGTGGGCCTCGGGCCTCGGGATCAGCCGCCTCTCTCCCACGGACTTCGAGCGCCTGTCCGACGAGGGCACCCAAGCGATCGGCGACCTTTTTTCCGCCACGATCAAGGAGTGGGCCCCTCCTGGCCGCGGCAGGTCCCGTGCGCTGCTGGCGAGCTCCTTGGCAAGACGCCGGGGGGCCGACCGCGCCATCGGCCGCGTTGCCATGCTTTCCCGAGTGCGGTCCACGGCCAGGGAGGATCAGATGAATAGATAAACAAATTCCACTACTCGCGAAGTCACTACTCGCAAATGGCCTGGATCCGGCGCTATTTACGGCCCATGATATAACAAGAAAACGTGTTTTCATCTCGGACGTTTGCGAGTAGGCACTTTGTGAGTAGCGGAACGCGCTCGGCGAATGACGGAGTGGTCCACAGGCCAGGTGGAGACGGACCACTGGGACGCGGCCAACGCGGGCACCAGCACCCTTCGCGAGGCACTCGTGCGCTCCCCCAGGAGGAGGTCCAGACTCGACTGGAGCTGCCGCACGGCCAGGCAGTGGTCGACATCAGTTCGTTCTGCGAATCTATCGAGTGGGGGCCCTTGGCCATGAGCGCCATGAAGAAGGGACTCCCAGCAATCCTTTTGTACCTGGAGCTCCAGATCTGCCTGGCGCCGCGCGTCTGGGAACAGCTCAACTCGCGCAGCGGGCTGTTCCAGGCGTGCCGCTCGGTGGTCCAGGGGCTTCGGGTCGGCGCCGGGTTTGCCAAGTGCCTCACGGCCTACGCGCGTCAGCGTCTTTGTGCCGCGCGCCCGCCCTTGAGCGAGCGCGTCTAGATTGACGCCCTCTCCCAGCGGGTCGCGGGGTCCAGGCAGCACGCGAGGACAATTTTTCGCAAGCTTCGGGGATGGACAGACCCCCCTTTAGCAAAACGTGGTTTAGTGAAAACGACCTGAGGCCCAAACCTGGCGGGCGCGAGCCTGGAACATAACGGCCACGGCGCCCTCCCGAGAACCGGAAACGGACAATTCGCTGATCGACGTGTCACTGTTGACTGTTGGGGGTTCTGTCCAGCCCCGAAAGCTTCATCTTAACATCGCTGAAAAGGGCGTGGTCATGTGCTTGCACCACGCCGATGTCATCACCGCTCGGGGAGGAGCGGAGGGCTCTGCCCGCGTCGCCGGGCTCGCCGTCGGCTGCTCCAGATCCTTCGTCTAGGGATCCGTGCCTTCCTGGTTGTCGCCGCCCGCTCCCTGGCTATCGCCATTCTCAGGGGGGGCTTCGCGCGGCTGGACTGTGGTCGTCTCAAACGGGGGTCTGGATTGACGGGGTGGTCTCCGTCCAGCCTGCCTCCGTCGGGCTCTCGTTCCAGGCCGTCGCCCCCGCAGTCGCGTCCGCCAAACATGATGGCGTTCTGCAGGTGTCCCATGGGATCAGCGGCCGTCGTGACCCTCTCTTGGACCAGGGCGTGGGTGTATCCCAGCGGCCTAGGTGGGAGAAGTCGCGTACACTCCCGACCTGTCGTCGTTGAGTGCCTGAGCCTCCGCTGCTAGTATCTGCGCCGCCTGCTCCATAGTGCTGACCCCATGTCTCTGCCACCAGCCGACCAGGTAGTTGCACCCTTGTAGCTCAACATCGCGCTGCAGGAGGGCGCGCCGTAAGTTGTCTCTTGTCGCCAGCGTGGCGGCATCCCAGATGACGTCAACCAGCACCCTACTCCAGGTGCAGCCTGAGGGCAGAGCCCTTTGCCTGATCGCACGCCGGACCCATGCAATCTCAACCAGGAGGTCTCTGAGCTGCGTAGTGTCCGTCGTCAATAGCGTGGCGCCCTTCGCCAACGACGGGCAGGGCGGCGTTCTGCAGGAGCCTGTCTGGGTCTGCTGCCTGTGTTATTCTGGCCTGCTGGAAAAGGTGAATGTCCCCGTTCGCCATGGGGGCTGGTACGGAGACCCCTGTTGCCTGCGAGAGGGCGGCCGCTTCGTCTTCTCATGCGGCCACCGCCCGATCCGTGGTGCTGACGCGCCGGTTCTGCCACCAGGCCACCACTGCGTGGAAGCCTGCTGAGGCAACCTGCACCTGGGAGGGCGAGCTCGGCAAGGCCTGCCTGGCCAGGGGGGTGGCCGACTCCCACAGTGGAGGCGCAGAAGGCCCGATCCCGCGCAGGTCCACCTGCGGTGCGCCGCGCTGCCGCCTGCCCCATGGCGTCCGATCTCGGCGGCAGGCCGCCGCAGGCGCGCCGCGCTCTGCTGCCCGGAGCCCAGCGGGCTGCCCGACCGCGCTGCGGCGTGCGACTGGCAGGCTGCGCCGACGTCGTCGTCAACTCCCATATGTGCACCAGCCGCATCTCCCGCAATCTGCAGGGTTGGATGGTGCACGCGGCCCCAAACATTAGGTCTGGCATGTCCCCCTGCAGGCAGACTTTGGACGAGAAGCCAAAAAAATAAGCCAAGCATGCTGCAACATGGTCAACAACATACTCCAAACATCGTCCCCGGAGAATGTTTGATTTTTTGTTTGAATGTTCCCCCTGTAGAGGGACAGGCCCGACTAAACACTAGCCGCATCTCCCGCAATCTCCAGGGTTGGATGGTGCACGCGGCTTGGGCCGCTCCGCCAGTCTCTGTCGCCGGCTAACCCTGTCCCTCGTGTAGGGAGTCCGGTCGGGCGCGGACATCCGGACCTTCACTTCTCTCAAGGGGCCCTGGGCCACACAAACAAATACAAACGAATCCCAGGTTTGCCTATATTTTTCAGATTTCCTGGATGTTCGTCTTCCCCGAGTGTCCATCTGTTCTCCTACTTTCCTGGGAATCGACGGTCGGCTGTGTCCGCGTGGCGTTTCCTCCTCTGATCCTCATCCTTCGGACGCGGGCCCGCACGGCGGCCGCGCCGAGCGGTTCAGGCTGCACCACAGGCGCGAGGCCAGAGCACGGTCGTGTTTCGCCACGTCGGCGTGGGCGCGCACAGGGCAGCTGCCGACGGCGCGCCTCTCGGCGCCCGCCATTCCCAGGCCCGGCCTGCCTCTCAGCACGAATGGCTGGCCGTTCGCAGGCAGGCCGAGGTCAGCTGGTAGGACCCCCTGCCCTGACGAGCCACTCCACGTCGGAGCCCCGAAGCTCGGGCGAGGGGGGATCCTCGTCGCTTGGAGGGGGGCATCGGCGTCGTGTTCAGTCTGAGGGCCGCTGCGCGTGCCCTGCTGGCGAAGGTGGCAGGGAGCCACTGTGCCAGCTGCGGGTGCAGGGAGACAGCCACGCCTGTCTGGATGCACGGGTCATCAGCTCTGGTCGGAGTTGGGTCGCACAGTCTTGATTTTTTGGTTGCGAGGGAATGTCACGCCTTCGACAGCAAAACCATCGAAACCCAGGGCACCCTGGAGCGAGCAGGGTTTTTTTTTGGCATGGGTCTCCACTGTACTACAGGGCTTCTCGTCGTCCAGGTGTCGGGATAAGCGCATCTGGGTGACGGGGCGGAGGAGTCCCCTGCTAAGGTGGAGCTGCGGAGGGGGCATCGTGCAACCCTGCCTACGGAAACTCAATGCCGCTCACGGCTTCGGTGACATCCATCCGTGCGCGCGCGCGTCCAGCCTCGGTCCATTCTTCCGCGCCTGTAGGGACGGCGCGTGTAGCGCCATCGTCATGGTGGAGGGTGCCAGCTTGAGTCCAGCAGCGCCGAGCATCTCGGGAACCTGATGTGTCCTCCTCTGGGAGAGCGGTGCGCTTCTGGGTCGAGTCCGGGGGATCTGGGGAGTCCAGGGAGTCCGGGGAATTCGGGGAGTCCGGGCAGACCATGGAATCTGGGGATGAGTCCGTGAAGTCCGGGGAGTCCAGGGAGTCGGGGGAGTCCAGGGAGCCTGGAGAGTCTGGGGAGTCCGCGGAGTCCGGGAGTCCAAGGAGTCCAGGAGTCCAATTAGTCTGGGGAGTCCGGGGAATCCGGGGAGGAGGAGGCGGAAGAGGGAAGCAAAGAAGGAAGATGGAGAAGGAGAAATGCATTGGGGTATGCAGGTGGGAGAATGAGGAGGAGGGAACCTTTCTTGACCTGCGCGGTTCCGTTGCCATCCTCCTCCTCATCCGCCTCCTCCTGCTTGCCATCGTCATCCTCCTCCTCCAGCTCCTTATTCGAAACTTATTTTCTATTACTCTTCTCCTCCTCCTCCTCCTCCTCCTCCTCCTCCTCGTCCTCTTCTTCATTCGCCCGCTTGCCTGGGACTCCTCCTGCTCAGCACGTGCGAAACTTCGTAAAACAAAAAGAAACACTCCGTCAGACACCCTTGCAGGGTATTAGCCAACCTGCCGAGCCGCGCCCAGAGCCGTGGCGACAAGAATCCCCGGACGACGACGACGACCACCGGCGGACCGCCACGACGACGACGAAGACGGTGAAGGCGACGGAGAATACGGAGGCGACGACGACGACGCTGACGTCGTCAGCGACGCGCTCCTGGGCGCGCGCTTAGGGGAGGGAGCGAGGGCAGGGGGAGGGTCCCTCCGTGAACGAAATGTTCCTCGACGGCGTGGATGAGTTTTTGATGCCAGTATTGCAAGGCAGCGCCGCAGCGTGAGAGCCGTGAAGCGGAGAGCCCCCCACTGGGAAATCGGTTTGGGCTTCGAGTTCGTGCCGTGCGTGCGGAAGGAAGGATCCCGCCGTGGCCAGGGCGAAGCCTGGGTCAGTGCTGCCCCCCTCCTCTCTCCCTTGGGCCGGCGGTGGCCGCCCGCGGGTGTCCCGCGGGTGTCCCGTGGGTGTCCCGTGGTCTCTGTGCTGTGCCGTGCTATGCGATACTGTGCTGTGCAGTGCTATGCCGCGCTGTGGCGTGCGGTGCGGTGCTGTGATCCGAGATGGTATGCAGCGCTGTGCGATGGTATGCGGAGGTATGCTACGCAGTGCAATGCTATACTGCGCCATGATGTGCGATGTGATTCGGTGCGACGCTGTGCAGTGCTGTGCGATTCAGTGTCTTGATAGGATATGGCTTGACATGATATGATATGATATGATATGTTATGATGTGCTATTAGATGGGATGCCACTGAATGCCAAGATATGCCATGCCGTGCTACGCGATGACATGCGATGCGATGCTCTGCGATTTGATGTTATGCTGTGCTATGCCCTGCGATGATATGACATGCTATGAGATGGGATGGGATGCGATGTTATATTGTGCCATGAGATGCGTTGCTAAACTATGCGACGGGCTGCTATGCGGTGAGATGCTGTAATGTGATGTGGCACGCGATGCAAAGCTAGGCTGTGCTATGCGACGCTATGACATGTTAAGAGGTGGTATGCTATGCTGTAGTCCCAGTTGCCCCCTCCCCCACGACCTCCGTATCACTCGAAGGGTGGTCGCACAAGTGTATTTTACGGGGCGGCAGGAGGAGGAGGAGGAGGAGGAGGAGGAGGAGGAGGAGGAGGAGTGGAAGGGAGGAGGAGGAGGAGCAGGAGGAGGAGGAGGAGGAGGCGGAGAGGGGAGGAGGACAAGATGGCAGACAACAAATGACGTGGCGAGTTAAAAGGTGGCAGCCGCATGCTGCGCAACGTACGCAACAGCTGTAACTAGAGAGGAGCACAGCAAACTCGCGCGTGCGTGGGCCGATCTGAATGGACGGCGCCCGCACAGAAGCCTCTGCGAGAGCAACTGAGAGAGACACAGCCACAGTGCAGTGGGCCGTCATGACATCGGGGAAACGTATCGGGCGCTTTGGGGGGGGGGCGTTAGGGGGTCCTCTTGAGGGCAGACGTGGGTGCCTGTCCGGAGCCTTTTGGCGCCGCTCGGAAACCTTTTGGGGCCTCCTGGGGTCTCGTGAAGGCACGCTGTGAGCTTCCTTGGGGCTGCGGAAGCATCGGACGCGCATCGGAGGCGCAGGTGCGGGGGAGGGTTGGGTCTGGCATGTCCCCCTACGGGCGGATGTTGGGCAAAAAAGAACAACACAACTGTTCAAACATGGCCCAAAATTATAAAACAAGTCGCCCCCTGACCACTTGTTTATCATTTTGGAATATACCCCCTGTACAAGGATATGCTCGACTTGAGGGAAGGGGTGCGAAACAAACCATCGACTGCCTGAAGCTGTTTGAAAAGAATGAGGGCATGTCGGAGGCCGTCTCGGGGGCCTCTGGTCGCCCGGATGGGCCCTCCTGGGAGCGTTTTTCGGGCGGTCCTGAGGCCGTCTTGAACGATCCCGGATTACTCTTGGATCGACTATAGGGGGCCTCTTGGACTGTCTTGGGCGCCTTGGGGGGGCTCTTCTGGGTCGCGTCGGAAAGCGTGAGGGCCCCCTCGAAGGGGCCTGCAGGCGCCCCTTCAGACCGGGTTGTCACTCTGAGCTGTCGTTTGACATGGATAGGGCGCCTGTATTATTCGAGCCGCCAGAGGTTTGGGTCTGCCTCTCCAGAAACGGGCCCTGGACCTCTTCCGACATGCGCTGGGATTGAAAATCTCTGGGCCGCATCCAGCTGTGGCGACGAAAACGTCCCAGGAGTCCGCCAGACTTGCGGCAAGAACTCGCTCCTCGAACGAATTTCTTCCATTCCGTGGAGGGAAATATTTTTTCATTTCCGGTAGCGGTCGTTCCCGGAGAGGGGGGGGCCAAGTAACGATAACGCTTGGGCGGGGTGGGGCGTGGGGCACGACGGAACGGGGGTGCGCTTCGATCGGCATGGTATGCGCGCGCACCGGCATCTTGGGAGGGGGAGGCCCCCTCCCACGCACGATCGTTACCGTCACCCGGGGAGGAGGAAGTTGGCCCGGGCGACAGCCGCCACGCGCCATAGTCGGAAGCTGGGCGAGGACTGGCAAATCCGTGGCTGCTAAAACGGTCTTCCCGGAAGGAAGAAACACATTCCGGGAAGAAAACTCAGCGCCCTAAACAAGAAGCAGGCTGCTTTCCGGAAGAGAAGAGATCCCCGGAGCTCCGTGTTGGCAGCCACGGGTTTGCCAGCCTTCGCCCGCCCTCTGCCATAGGGCAGCAAGACGCGAGCTCGGGCGCGCACCCTTGTTCCTCCTGGCCGCCTCGAGGCGGGGGCGCTTGCGCGCGAGCCCCACGCCGTCCCCGCAGGGCGCCAGCGCCAGGTAGGTGAAGTGCGGCGCTCGGCCGACGGGCCCCTCGCCTGTTTGGTGCCCGTCATCGTCGTCGTGATCGCACTTGCCGGATCGGCCGAGAAGGGGACATCAGCGTCTCCGTCGTCGCCACGACAATTATAAACGCATCAGCACATGCCGACGCGTCTGCGCCCATGGCTCTGCAGCGGCAGGGTGCGCAGGTCGCAGAGGGCCTCTTGGAGGTGGTGCCCTCTTGGGGACAGCCAGGAGACGGCGATCACGGGAACGGGACCCGCTCCTGGCTTTTGTTTGGGTGGGTGGGGCGCTAAGAAAAGGGGGGGCGGAGAGGAACAAACCGACGGCGCCCTTAAACTAGCTGCTTCCAATTTTTCTTTGGGGACGCCGAGGACACTGCCAACGTGGGAAAAAAAGGGGCCCGCTCTTAGCTTCTGCTTTGGGGGGACGGACCTGGGGAAGGAGGGCGGAGAGGAGTAAACTCGGGAGGGGCAGGGGGAGGGAGCTGCAGCGTGTTAGAAGGGGAGACAAAACGGTCAGAGGAAGGGTGTGTGGGGGCGCGCGAGCTCGAGGAGAGAAGGGCGGGAGGGAGGAGGGAGGAGGGACGGGGAAGGGGGAGGGCAAAGGAGCTGGAGGGAGAGGGAAGAGAGAGAGAGAGAGAGAAAGAAGGATAGAGAGCGAACAAGAAAGACAGTGAGACCGAGACAGGGGGGCAGAGAGAGTGGGGGCGGGGAGGGAAAAAGAGAGAGTTAGAGAGAGTGAGAGATCCAGGAAATGAGGGAAAGAGAGAAAGAGAGATAGAGAGAGAGAGAGAGAGAAACACAACAAGCACAACAAGGAAACATAACAACACAAAAGGATAGCCAGGGATAACCAGAAGGGGGAGAAGGAGAGAGGGAGGGGAAGGGGAGAGAAAGGGAGGAAGAGAAAGAGAGAGAGAGAGAGAGAGCGCGAGAGAGACACACAGAGACAGAAAGGGTGCGTGCCTTTGGGGCAACAATAGAAGGGAATATACTTATATATTTAGGTGAAGCTTCATGTGCAGATTTAAACAATTAGATCGCGAGGGTAGATTTGGGTGGAGACGTGGAAGTACATACTCAGGTGAGAGCGAGAGTGATGATTTAGGTGGGCGTATAGAAACTGATCGAGGTTGCTACTTCCACGGGAAGCGCCGGAGCCAAGATGTAGGTGACGATTTCAATCAGTATGTAAACAAAGTTTCAAACAGTTACAGCGCGAGTGAACATTTAGGTCAAGATTTAGGTGAAGGTTGAAACGACGATTTGCAATCAGAGCGCGGGATAAGGTTCAATCGAAGGTGAAATCAAATATGTGGACGCAGATCTAATTTGAGATTTAGGCAGTCAGAGCGCAAGTTGAGTTTTTGATGGAATTTCGGGAAAAGATTTACCCTGCAGGTAAGTACTGAAATTGAACATATCAGTGACGATTTAAGCAAGAAGAGCGTGAGTGAAGTTTGAGGTGAAGGCTCAAGTGAAGACTTAGGTGAAGATTGAACTTGAGATTTGGACAGTCAGCGCGCGAAGGAAGATGCAAGTGAAGAGTCAGGGGACGATTCAGATGAAGATTAAAATCTTGCACAGTGAGGGCGCGAGTAGAGATTTTATTGCCGATTTAGTTGAGGATTTCGGTAAAGATGCAGGTGTTTGTTTGTTTTTCATCAGACGGGGCGCGATTGAAGATCCAGGTGGGGATGTGCATAGAAAGTTCTTGGAAGAGTAACTAGCGGCGTCACCAGAGAATGCGAATCAAGCTACATATATGACAACTTAGGTGAAACGTAAAGTTCATAATCCGTCGGTCGGCCAGAACGCAAGTGAAGATGTAGGTGAAGACTCGCGTGCAGACTTACATGACGATTTGCACAGTAAGAGCGCGAGTGGAGATCTGGGTGAATGTATAATGAATGACTTGAGCATTGCGAGCGCGAGTGAAGATTGAGGTCGAGATTAAGGTGACGATTGAGGTAAACATTTCAACAGGGAGAGTGCGCGTAAAAAAATAGGTAGAGGCTTAAGTGAGGATACAAGTTAAGATGCACGTGAAGATTTAAAACGTGATTGCGTGAACGACGACTGAGGTGAAGATGAAGGTTGCAAAATAAACCGGGAGACCCGAGTCAAGGTTGAGGTAACGATTCATGCCCATATGTAAATTGATATTCAAGCTCTCAGGGCGCGAGCGAAGATTTAGGTGAGGATCTCGGTAAAGCTTCAGGTACACACTTAGGCGAATATGCAGACAGGAAAGGCGCAAGTGAGCTGATTTCGCAGAAGATTCAGGTGAAGATGTTTTTGAAGACTTCAACGGTGAGAGCGCGCATGGAGATCCAGTGGGAGACTGAAGTGAAGATGTAGGTGAAGATTTTGGTCACCAGTCAAGCATTGAGAGCGTCAGTAAAGGTTAAGGTGAATACTTAGGTGAATTATTAGGTAGGGTTTTAAACAATTAGGGCGCGAATCAAGCTTGAAATGAATAGTCAAGTGAATCTGCAAGCGAAGATTTAAACAGTGAGAGAGTGTGTGAACATTTAGGTGAAGAGCAAAGTGAATTTTTCAACCGAGGGATCGCGGGTGAATATTCAGGTGTATATTGAAATGAAGAATTAGTTGCAGATGGATCGGCGATTTAAAAAGTGAGAGCGTGAATGAAGCTTTGCGAGAAGATTTGGTTGAATGCTTGAGTGAAGATTTGCACTGACACAGCGCAAGTGAAGGTGAGAGTGGAGATTTGGATGCAGACTTAGGATGCTGGGTTTCAGTGAAGCTGTATGTCAACATCCATGTGGGGATGCGAAAAAAGATGCATCAATCGAATACTTTCTTGAGCATTCACACTAAAAACACTATGCTCAAACCTCGGTAAAGCAATACCACTCCCAAGACGACGCCGCGGCAAGAAACAACATAGGGCATTTACAACAAAACATTGTCTTCTAGCAAGTCTACGAGGCCTGAGCCGGGCATGCCCTTCTAGTTGATCCAAATCCTTGTAAACCAGACCCCCTAAAAGGAGGTAACATACCCGGCCCCACAAGCCACGAAGAAACAACATACCCGGCCCGGCGACGAGAAAACGCAAACACAACAGCGATTCATCAGGCGTGAGAACAAGACACGCGGCAAGCACTCTACATGATAACCCAAAGTCCCGACCCCTCCAGGGGGTCAGCCTGGACAATTTTTCGAGCTGCGCCCAGCCGCAGCAACGAGCCTCCAGAGACGCACGACGGGCGGGAAAACGTCGCTCGTCGCTTCCACTGTCGAGACCGCCCCTTCGAAGGCCTCCGCGGGCAACGTTCCGGCACCCGACGCGCGACTGGAACGCGTCGATCAGGGCGGCCTCCAGCATCTGTACGGCGCCAGGCTCCTCTGGAGCACACGAAGTGGCTGGGGAGGGCCGCCGTTCTCGTCGTCGTCACCGCCACCTTTGCCGTCGTCCTCGTCGTCGCCATCGTCGCCGTCGTCGTCGTCAGTCCTTGTCGTGCCGTCCTCGTCCTCGTCCTCATCGTAGTCGTCCTCGTCGCCCTCGTGATCATCGTCGTTGTCGTCGTCGTCGTCTGCGCCTTTGTTGTCCTCCTCCCCCCGCTGCTGAACGTGCTCCTCCCCCCTCCTCCTCCCCCTCCCCCTCCCCCCCCCCCCCCCCCCCCCCTCCTCCCCCCCCCCCCTCTTCCTGCCACTGCGGCCCTAGGATCCAAAGGCCTCTGGGCAGCGCGACGGAGAAGCGCCACGTGCGCGCCCCGTTCGCGATTTTCACGGCGACCCGGGGGACGTGCTCGGACCTGGGCGCCGCGATCGAGCACCGCTGCCATGGACCACGAGCGGCGACCACTGAAGGGACCCTGCCCTGGGACACGCAAATAAATACACACAAATACCACGATTCCCCATAGATTCCCATGTTTTCCGGGTTTTTGTCTCCCCCCCCGCTTCCTATATTTTCACATGTTTCCCTACCTAGGCTCTGCCTAGAGGGTTCTTACTCTCTTAGCTTAAAGGGGCCGGGCAGTGGGTCCCGCCCCGGGCGGTTTCCCCCGGTCCCCCCCCCGCGGTTCCCCCAGGTGCGCCCCCTTACCTTAGCTTTGCGTATCTCATCTTAGCTTAGCTTAGCTTAGTTTAGCTTAGCTTCATCTTAGTTTCGCGTAGATGTAGCTTCGCTTGGCTTAGCTTAGCATATCATAGCAGAGCCCAGCATAGCACAGCACAGCGCAGCATAACATGGCACAGCATAGCACATAATAGCATAGCGCAGCATAGCACAGCACAGCACAGCATAGCAACAGCAACAGCAAAAGAAAAAGCACAGGCAAGGCAAGGCAAACACAAAACCCATGCGAAAGTGTAGATGTAGATGTAGATGTAGATGTAGGTGTAGGTGTAGGTGTAGGTGTATATGTAGATGTAGGTGTAGATGTAGGTGTAGATGTAGATGTAGATGTGAGTCGCGCTGTTGATGTTAATGTAGATGTAGATGCAGGTGTAGATGATACTGTAGCTGTCGGTGTAGATGTAGATGTTGCTTTCCTAGATGCTCCAACTCCTAGATAGGGTCGCACTGGGATAACTTCCTGGGAGTCGACGATTAATTGATTGAGTCTGTGTGCTTCTTTCCCTCCTGAACCATACCCGTATCCGCGCCCTCGCGGTCTGGACTCCAGGGAGCGACCCCGCGGATGCGCAGTCGCACGGCTGCGTCCGCGCGAGGCCGCGGATACGAAGACGTGCCTCGCCCACCAGCTACATGCGTTGCCTTGCGAACTCAGCGCCCCAGGGGGTCTGCTGGCGGGCCCAGGGGGCCACAGAAGCCCTGTCCGCGACGGAAGACGGATCCAAGGGTCGGGGCCTGCAATCTGGGACCCAGACCTCTGCCGTCACGGCAAGTAGTAACGCCAGTGTGCTTCGGCTGTTTGGGCTTTCGGTGGCCGGTGTCGGCCCCCGGAGCAGCTATTCACCCGGTGTCCAGGATGAGGTCGAGAGGTCGGGGGGCCCACGTCGAGAAAAAGATGTGGAGCCCGGTGCCCGGGGTTGTCCCCTGACCAAAGGTGCGGGCGGGGCCCACGCGCGCTGCCCTGGCCGCTCCCCCGGGAGAAGTTCTTTTGCACGGTGGGCGCAGTCGGTGATGCTGGAACCCGGGGGATGCGAGAACGGACGAAGAGCATGCCCATCGGTCGGCAGAAGAGGGTAGAAACATGAAGTAGGAAGGCGTTCAGTACATACATATATACATATATATATACACATACATACAGACACGCATAGATTGGGTGTCCGCCCGCCCCCTAAAGGGGAGGGAAGAGGGGAGGCCACTCGATCACTGAAGTAGGAAGGCGCTGAGAGTAGATTGGGATCGGGGTATCCAAACAGACCTACTTTCAGCGACCGCTGTGTAACCAGGGCCAGCTCAGAAGTCTGCAGGGACAGCAGTGTCGATCGCTCGCGCGAGGCTTGGCATGCCCGATGACTCACTTGTCTTGCGACAAGCGATGGAGCGGGTAGGGACGAGGAGGACTCCTCCTCCTCCTCCGACGACAACCCAGAGCAAATTGAATGGGAGGTGGTAATAATTGCCTGCAATATGAAATCAACCATGGGTGGACGACAGCTTCGACGGCGAGGGCGAGGAGGCGCATGGTGTTATTGATAGCAAACGCTTCGTAGAAAGTGGAAGCACCAGCAGTAGTCGTGGCAATCGTGGGGACACTAGAGGTGGATATATAAAAGCTGTTGTAGTTGGTTTCGTCATCTATGTCATTTCCTCCTCCTTCTCCCTCCTTCTCCTCCTCTCCCTCCTTCTCACACCTCTGAAATAACTACTCTGCCTCCTCCACCTCCTTCGCACTCTCCTTCTCCGCCTTCTCCCCCCTTCTCCTTCATCTGCCCCTTCTCCTCCCATTGCTGCTGCTGCTTCTCATCCGCCTCCTAATGGGCATCATACTCCTCCTCCGCCTGGCCCCCCCCCCCCCCCCCCGCCGCTTGCATCCTCCTCCTCCGCCTTCTCATGTTCCTGCTCGTTCTTCTCCTCCTCCTGCTCCTCCTCCTCCTCCTTTCCTCCGCATCCCCCTCTCCTCCTCCCCCTCCTCCTGATCCACCCTCTCGCCTTCGCCCCTCCTCTGCTTGCTCCGGCTCCTCCTCCTCCTCCTCCTCCTCCTCCCCTTCCTCATCCACTTTCTTCCGCTGCTGATCCTCGTCCTCTTTCTATTCACAAAATTCCGTATCCCCTCCGCATCCGTCACATACTCCTTCTCCTCCGCATGGCCCGTGCCATCATTCTACGCCCTCCTCGTCTACCTTCCCAATATGTATTCCATCTTCTCCTCTTCCTCCTCCTCATCGTCATATTGCTCCTCTGTGCCCTGAACAGCCAACCTCCTCATCCTCCTTCTCCCACCTTATTCCTCCTCCCTCATCCTCCTCATCCACCGCCTAACTCCTCTGATTTCTCGTCGGCGTTCTCATCACCCCCTGATCCTCCTCCTCCTCCTCCTCCTCCTCCTGCTCCTCCTCCTCCTCCTGCTCCTCCTCCTCCTCCTCCCCCACTCCTCCTCCGGCTTCCTTGTCCCCTGCTCAGCCTCCTCATCCTCCTCCTCCCACCTTATTCCTCCTGCCTCATCCTCCTCATCCACAGTCTAACTCATTTTACTTCTCGTCGGCGTTCTCATCAACCCCTGCCCCTCCTCCTCCTCCTCCTCCTCGTCCTCCTCCTCCTTCTCCTCCTCCTCCTCCTCTCCTCCTCCTCCCCCACTCTTCCTCCTTCTCCTCCTCCTCCTCTTCCTCCTCCTCCTCCTCCTTCTCCTCCTCCTCCTACTCTTCTCCTCCTCGTACTTATCGTACTCTTCCTCCTCCTCCTCCTCCTCCTCATCCTCCTCCTTTGTCTCCGTTATCATCATTTTCATCATCATCATCATCATCATCATCATCATCATCATCATCATCATCATCATCATCATCATCATCATCATCACCATCATCATCATCATCATCATCATCATCATCACAATCCTGATCGTCTCTCCCCTCCATCCTCCTCCTGCTCCTCCTCCCCCTATAGCTCCGAAGCGCATTTATTTGCTGTTCCTCGACCTTGTCCTCTAACTCCACCGCTTCCCCCAACGAGGACGAGGACGAGGACGACCGTAAAATCGAGGAGGACGAGAACGACGACGACGGCGACGACGATGCAGGCCGCCTCTCCTCGGAACAGAGCAGCAGGTGAAACTGAGCGTATCCCTCCGCGTCGTAGGCAGCCCAGCGCGCGAGGGGGCTGCACGTGATGCCTCTGAGGGCAAGACATTCGGATAGGAGAGCGACTACAGAATTTAATGCCCCAGAACTGCTTCATTCGTCGAATTGACGAAGAATGCCTGCAAAGTTGGTGGATCTACGAAGATTCAACAAATCTCTGGAAGATTCGACGAACAACTCAAGTTTTGGGCACGTCAGGTCTGTAGTCGATCGCCTATTCGAAATTGCCTCCAAGACGGTTGACTTGTCCTCACTTCGGGGCGCGGGGGGGGGGCTGTTCTGGAGCTGGGGCCGCCACCACAAACGGCCCGAAGGAAGAACTTGGCTCTGGGCAAGCGGTCGAAAGCTCGGGGGTCCCACGTCATGATTAAACCGTGACGTCGGAAATCTGTCGCATCAGCGATTCCACCTCTCCTTCTCATCTTTCGGTTGGCTTCAGGGGACACCCGACTGTCGCCACGGCTGGACGCGACTCGGAGAGTGCGTCGGGATGGCGCACAAGGAGAAGCCAGGGTCCACTCTTGAGCAACTGGTCATCCTCCTCTTCACAGTGGGCGTCGCGAAAATATCGCCGCCGCCCCCCTACGGGCGGACTGGGGCAGAAAAGGAAACTGTCGAATAAGAAAAAGGAAGAGGATCACCTAAAGAGCACGACGCATCGTCACCTGACTATCATATACAATTATGGAATATTCCCCTTGTAAAGATGCCTGACGAGGAGCCTTCTAGATAGGGCCCGAGTAGATATGGCCGGCGGATTGCACCGCATCGCCGATGCATCGCCGACGCATCGGCGATGCATCCGCGACGTCGGCGACGCACCGACGCCGCCGGCGCGGAAAAGATCGGGTTCCGCGTCGAGCCGCATCGGCGATGCATCGGCGATGCGGCGCGATGCTCCGACCCCACATGCTCCGACCCCGTCTGGGAGGTCTAGAGCATGCCCGACAGACACGCCAATCGAAAAGAAGGTAAAAGCATGAAGTAGGAAGGCGGACCAAGTAGATTGGGCTCAGGCCTTCCCAGATAATGATTAAGCTACCGAAGAAATCCACATACATATAATATGTCTGGCGTGATGATAGCTGCAGTGAAGCGGGCGACAAATGATGCTGGTGGCCGTTGCCCCGCCGATACCGTTAGTGACGCCTGTCAGACCTTGGGAGCCTGACGCGCTGTGCGAACAGAACAGAGGACAACGCCGAAGAGACACTGCGCTCGAGTTTGCTTGGCACCGCACCGGAAACGGTTCTCATGCGGCCGCTTCGGCAGAAAGTCCCCAGGGACAAGCGATGGTTGCGCCGGCCGCCCAACCAATGCGGCTCGGGGCTCTTCGCGAGAGGCGCAGGCTGTCGACAGAAAGCCTCGAGTCTGCACACGAGTGAAGTTGCGGGAAGCTCGGCATAGAGCTTCCGGGAGCTCCGGCGGGGCCCGCGCTCCGTGCGCATGCCCGGCGGAGACCCTGTCAGCCACAGTGCGTGGTGTCATGACGGCCTGATCGAAGGCGGGCGTAACGGGTTCTCTGCACCAGCGCAGGTTCAGGTCTTCGCTCTGGACCCCTGATGATATCCCGATCTCCTCGACTCACACTTGCATAAGCATCTCCCACCTGCGCTTGCTGTCCAGGGCCTGGACTGAGATCTTCGGATCGGGGCTCACTGGCCAATTCTGATCGGGTGGCACAGCCCTTTTCTGGTGGGGGACATGCTACGCGCGCGCAGCCCTGGGAGGCTCCATCCCCTGCGAACCCCTTATGGTGTCCAGAATACGCCACGCCTGTTATGCTTGGACGACCAGCGCGCGTAGCGGCCGCGATCAGAAATTACCTCCTGCGCACCCCCTAGTATTTCCTGAAAGTACCACGGCTGCTATGCCCTGGACGACAAGAGCGGATAGCGGCCGCGCTCAGAGACCATCCCTTGCGCACCCTTCATGGTGTCAAGAAAGTACCACGCGTGCTATACCTTGGGCGACAGGCGTGCATAGCGGCCCCGCTAAGAGACCACCCGCCGCGCACCCCCTATGGTGTCCAGAAAGTGCTACGCCTGCTTTGCCATGGGCAACTGGTGTGCATAGCAGCCGCGGTCAGAGACCACCCGCCGCGCACCCCCTACAGTGTCGAGAAAGTGCCACACCTGCTATGCCTTGGACGACTGACGTGCATAGAGGCCGCGTTCAGAGTCCACTCCCTGCGCACCCCCTGTGGTGTCGAGAAAGAGCTACGCCTGATACGCCCTGGAGGACCCGAGTGCATAGCTGCCGCGTTAAGAGACCATACGCCGTGCACCCCGCTATGGGATCGAGAAAGTGCCACGCCTACTATGTCCTGGACGACTGGCGTGCGCAGCGGCCGCGCTCAGAGACCACCCACCGCGCACCCCCTATGGTGCCTGCCCTGGACAACCGGCGCGCATAGCAGCCGAGCTCAGGGACCACCCCTTGCGCACCCCCGATGGTGCCGAGAAAGTACCACGTCTGCTATGCCCTGGACGACGGGCGTGCATAGCGGCCGCGATCGGAGACCCCACCCTGCGCACTCCCTATGGTGTCGAGACAATGCCACGATTGCTATGCCCTGGAAAACCGGAGTGCATGGCGTCCGCGCCCAGAGACCACCACCCCCTGCGCACCCCCTATGGTTTGCTGAAAGTGCAACAGGCGCGTATAGCGGCCGCGCTAAGGGACCACCGTTTGTGCACCACCTATGGTGTCGAGAAAGTGCCACGCCGGCGATGCCCTGGACGAGAGGCGCGCATAGCGTGTGACCACCCCCTCTGCGCACCCCCTGTGGTGTCTAGAAATGCCACGCCTGCTATGCCCTGGACGAGAGGCGTGGATAGCGGGACCACCCCTTGCACACCCCCTATGGTGTCGAGAAAGTACCACGTCTGCTATGCCCTGGACGACGGGCGTGCATAGCGGCCGCGATCGGAGACCCCACCCTGCGCACTCCCTATGGTGTCGAGACAGTGCCACGATTGCAATGCCCTGGAAGACCGGCGTGCATAGCGTCCGCGCCCAGAGACCACCACCCCCCTGCGCACCCCCTATACTTTACTGAAAGTGCAACGCTTGCGCCGCCCTGGACGACAGGCGCGTATAGCGGCCGCGCTAAGGGACCACCGTTTGTGCACCCCCTATGGTGTCGAGAAAGTGCCACGCCGGCGATGCCCTGGACGAGAGGCGCGCACATCGTGTGACCATCCCCTCTGCGCACCCCCTGTGGTGTCGAGAAAGTGCCGCGACTGCTCTGCTCTGGACGAGAGGCGTGGATAGCGGGACCACCCCTTGCGCACCCCCTATGGTGCCGAGAAAGTGCCACGTCTGCTGTGCCCTGGACGACAGGCGTGCATAGCGGCCGCGATCGGAGACCCCACCCTGCGCACTCCCTATGGTGTCGAGACAGTACCACGATTGCTGTGCCCTGGAAGACCGGCGTGCATAGCGTCCGCGCCCAGAAACCACCCCCCCCTGCGCACCCCCTATACTTTACTGAAAGTGCAACGCTTGCGCCGCCCTGGACGACAGGCGCGTATAGCGGCCGCGCTAAGGGACCACCGTTTGTGCACCCCCTATGGTGTCGAGAAAGTGCCACGCCGGCGATGCCCTGGACGAGAGGCGCGCATAGCGTGTGACCATCCCCTCTGCGCACCCCCTGTGGTGTCGAGAAAGTGCCGCGACTGCTCTGCTCTGGACGAGAGGCGTGGATAGCGGGACCACCCCTTGCGCACCCCCTATGGTGCCGAGAAAGTGCCACGTCTGCTGTGCCCTGGACGACAGGCGTGCATAGCGGCCGCGATCGGAGACCCCACCCTGCGCACTCCCTATGGTGTCGAGACAATGCCACGATTGCTATGCCCTGGAAAACCGGCGTGCATAGCGTCCGCGCCCAGAGACCACCACCCCCTGCGCACCCCCTATGGTTTGCTGAAAGTGCAACAGGCGCGTATAGCGGCCGCGCTAAGGGACCACCGTTTGTGCCCCACCTATGGTGTCGAGAAAGTGCCACGCCGGCGATGCCCTGGACGAGAGGCGCGCATATCGTGTGACCACCCCCTCTGCGCACCCCCTCTGGTGTCGAGAAAGTGCCGCGACTGCTATGCTCTTGACGAGAGGCGTGGATAGCGGGACCACCCCTTGCGCACCCCCTTATGGTTTTGAGAAAGTAATTGCCACGCCGATGTGGGTGCCCAGTATGTTTGAGTGTGTGTGTGTGTCCAAAGCGGTGAAACTGGCAAGGACCTGCAAAGGGGAAGGATGGGGTGGGAAGAAACGCGGGCGAGACGCGGGTGGGAAGAAAACAAAGAGCCCACTGGGCATGTGGGGTGGGGTGTGTGTGTGTGGGGGGGGGGGGGGGGCAAAAACGCAGCAAAAGCATATCGATTATTGAAATAGGAAGGCGCTTGAAGCAGATTGGGATCCGGAAATCCAGACCATGTCTACTTCCAACCGACTGGCGTGCAATCGTGGATGCCTGGCGCCAAGGGGCCGCTTTCGGGTCCAGGGCCGAGCACGAGAAATCACTGCCCGGGCGGCCAGGGAGGAGGAGGAGGAGGAGGAGGAGGAGGAGGAGGAGGAGGAAGAGGAGGAGGAGGGGGAGAAGGAGGAGGAGGAGGACGGGGAGGAGGAGGAGGAGGAGGAGGAGGAGGAGGAGGAGGAGGAGGAGGCCGACAGGCTGCGGGGCCGACAGGCTGCGGGGCCGACAGGCTGCGGGGCAGGGCCTCGCGGCCGCCCGGGGTTGGGAGGGGGCGCACAGGACGACCGAGACATGTCCAAGAGCATACAGGCCCCATATGTTTCCCTCACATCTGTTGTTTCGGATGAGCCAGGGCTCACTAGAGGCACAACCCTGGCTTGCTCGACACAGCACGTCTGAGGAAACCTCAGCTCCAGCTCTGAAGGGGGTACCCTCGTCCTCCTCTTGTCTGGACACCTCGCCTCGGAGTGCCCGTCACTTGGGGCATCTCCGTCGGACCATTGGCCCCCAGAGAGGAGGCTCGCGCTCTTGCCCCACATCCTCCCTTGGCCTCCTTGAGGGGGGTCCGAACACCCAGGACCCCCTCGAGCCATGAGAAGTCACGACGGGCGGGCGTTTAGCTAATTTGAAGGGGAACTGGAACACACAAATAAATACACACAAATAAAAAGATTCCCCATATTTTCACATATTTTCTGGATTTTTGTCTCCCCGCCCAATTCCCATATTTTCCCATATTTTCCTGGCACTCGACGATTAATTGTGTCTGTGTGTTTCTTTCCCTCCTGATAATTCCCAGTCTCCGGGGGCCCTTGCCGGCCCTCGGGGCCGTCATAAAAAAAATTCAGGATGAAGAGCCGGTCCTGGGAATGGGTCGAGACCTCTGGGGGTCGACGCTATGAACAAATCACGGCGTCGGGGGTGTGGGTAGATGGGGTCGGAGGATCGCGCCGCACCGCCGATGCATCGGCGACGTGGGCAATGCATTGGCGCCGTCGCGCCGTCGGCGTGGAGAGTCGGGCTCCACATCGAGCCGCATCGGCGATGCATCGGCGGTGCGTCGGCGATGCGGCGCGTTCCGATCCCATCTACCCAAACCACCGACGCCATGATTTGTTCATAACGTCGACCCCCCCGTTCTTCATCCTGAATCGTTTTCTGACGGCCCCGAGGGCCGGTAAGGGCCCCCCAGAGACTGAAAATAACTAAAACCACCCGTCGTGATTTTTCATGACTCGAAGGGGTCTGGGTACTCGGACTCGATCTTGCAAGCCTAGGGAGACTGTGGGGCAAGAGCGCGAGCCCCTTCTCCGGGGGCCCAAGGTCCCACGGCGATACCCCAAATGACGGGCAGTCCGAGGCGAGGTGTCCAGACAAGATGGGCACGAGGGTACCTCTTCAAAGCTGGAGCTGATATTTCCTCATCCTTGCTGTTTCGAACCAGCTAGGGTTGTACCTCTAACCCTCGTGCCAACTGCCTTCTGCAAAGTGTGCTCTCCCTCTCTGCCTATCTTGAAGATCGCCGGCTCGTTGCTGCGAAGGAGGTCCTGCCGCCAAGGTGGGCGCGCCGCTGGCTTACTCTGCAGGAGAGGGAGGAGGACAAAGAGAGCAACCAAACCTGCACACGCACAATTTCTCGGATGTTCGCGCGGATGTCTCGGATCGGCGCCGGACCCCCCCTCACTGGCGTGCGGAGCGCGCCAGGCGCGGCGCCGGAGGCGCCGCCAGGCATGCCCAGCGCCGATCCAAGAAATCCGCGTGGAGCGTCAACACAACAGGGGATATGTCGACCCCTATCCTAGGCTTTTGGAGATTCTCGAATGGACCAACCCTTTGGAACCCAACCCTGGGATATACAAGGGGGGCGTCTATCCTCGATTGGGGTGCGTTCGAATAGCCTCCTGGGGCCAGGCTGTCCCTGCTTTTGTTAGCCGCTTCATTTTCGTCGAAAAGTCGGTTGCTGGGATAGAAGCATTGCCTGCGACAAACACTTTTATGTCTGTGCCAATGT